TTCTCGTTGAGGAAAAAAAAGGAGAGGAAAATGTTGGAATTCCGTCGATCCGATGCATCGATAGACGCAGTTTCTCTCAAATAAATTCCCGACTCGGCAAAAATCGTCTGAGAATCTCTTTTATCGCAGCCGCCAGCCACGCGAGCCATCGCGGTTGTTTTCGCCGCGAAAATTTTACGCTGATTTGTGGAATTACGAAAGATTTGAACGCCCACCTGCGACACTCCCGTAATGAATCCCTGCTAATTAATACATCATTTGGTGTTTCCTGGGGGTACAATTAGCGCAATTAGGACAATGGCGCAATTAGTCCAGCAGAACACGTTCTTCCGTCATCAACAATTTTAATGAACCCCCCCACTTCCTTGCTAGCATGACGCAACCGATCGTTTTCACTGCGGATGATCGATATCGGCGAAATACTCGTGCTTCGTTGCGTAAAACCGCTCAATTAAAATCGCATAATGAGGTTGCGCCCACAGAGTGACCCTCTCATGATGCAACCGTGAGGAATTACGGGCACGGCAGTTTTTGCAGTACTGCTTCGGTCTTCAGTACCTCTGGAAGCCGTGCGTCCGAGCGGAGACGAATGTTCATTCGTCTTCGAAGGGAGGGGATTTGCAGGAAATTTGGAGGGAATTTGGAGGGAATTTGGAGGGAATTTGGAGACTGAGGTGACAAGAAAATGCGATGCAGCGCAGGAGTTGGGCCTTCATTCAGGGATTGGTCACCTTTCTCATGATGAATCGTTCGAGGCGGGCCCGTTGCAGCTCGTTCCGATGCAGTTTACATGTTTTAGCCGGCAACGAAGCGTGCGAAATCGAAAGGAATCCTCGGGCGGTTCGGGTTAAACGTGGTATGAGAGAAGCTTCGCTCGATCGATGCGACTGCTCCGAAAGACGTCATCGCTTGGCAATGCACCGCTTTCGTTCTGCGACACTCTCGCGGTTCGATGGCTTCGTGATCGCACTGCAATATGCTAAGGATCGGCTCGAGAGGCCATCTCTGACGTCACCGTCCGTTCCTCCACAGCGAGATTCAGAGCAACGGGACGCTGAGGCTGGAGATCAAGACGGATGCGTGTGCCGGGACGGAGACGGAGGTGAACTATCTGGAGCATGTCCAGGCTGTCGTCACGGCGAATACCAGCAGACGAGGGGATTTGCAGCTCTTCCTCACTTCGCCTATGGGGACTCGGTACGGTTTTCGTTCGATCGGGCGTTTCGAGACGATTCGATGATGATCTGAAGTTGCAACGATTCGAGGCTTGCGAGCCTTGGTCGGTCGAAGTTCCTTCGTAGGCTTCCCATGAAGTCGGCCGGAAGGGCATAGGGTATGAGTGATGGGGCGACCATCCGGCATCTATCCGGTTATCGGTGGCATCTATCCGGTTATCGGTGGCATCTATCCGGTTTCGCTTGAGCGATCGCTAGATGCTCCTTCGTGTGATGAGAACTTTCCGATAGAAAAGTTTCTACCTGGCGCGGATGTTATCAAGAGGCACTCTGTTTCTTGCACTTTCAATTTTCATCGCGCTCAAGGCAATATTTTTCTAGTTATCGTCAGACCGTGACTCCATAAGTTTGGATGGGCGGCAATTAAAATGAATGAATGAATCGTCAGACCGCGAAAGTGGGAACAGTCACAGACACAGATACAGACACAGACTCAGACAGGACCTTGACTTTTCGCTCATTTCCTGGCGTGGTCGTGGTAACCAGTCCAACTGTTCTCGATGATTGCCTGGCGTGGGCGTAATAACTCTTTCAAGGGCATGCTCCTGATTGAGAATTTCCTGCCATCTTCCTGCTGTTAGCGAAGACGTCAGTCAGTCTGACAGACCTTTCGATATGATCGTCGGCTATGAATTCTGCAGAATCTTTTTTTCTGGAATTTTTGCGCAAATGCCCTGCCAGGATGGGGTAGAATTTTAGGCTAGCCCAGGAAATGAGTCAAGTGGTCTGTAGGTTTCCTTATTTGCTGAGAAGGCCCAGCGAAACAACAAGGGACTTCATTAAAGGCTTATTCTAGCCTGCTTCGTCAGGCCGCGTGGTCGTGAAATTTGCACAGCAGCAGCTTTTTGCAAGCATTCGCAGGCCATCGTCGGTCATCCATGCGCCAATTCTCTCTCGGTAAAAGGAGCGAGAAAAACCCCAAAAAGGCACAACTCCAGGAGAAGACGAGGATCTTATTTATTTATTTATTTTAAAAGGTTAATTGCACGACGTGAAAAATTAATTAAGGTGCCTTCGTTTTCCTGTCTTCTGAGCAGCTACTGCCATTCGATGTCATGATGAACGACCGCAGCAATTTCCTAATCTATTTTTGCACCGCCAGGTCGATGATTCTGAGCACGAGGCCAAGGGATGACGATAACCGGGATGGTTTCATGAAATGGCCCTTCATGACTTCGCACACGTGGGGAGAATATCCTCGGGGAAAATGGATCCTCGAGGTGAGTCCTTTCTCCTATCGCTCCTCTAGAGGCTAAGCGGGATCGCATGCGACCGATGGGAAATGTTGACTGTCGGTGTTAACCCTTTGACCGCCAAGCCCCGAATGTACTCGTTTTCTAACTTTCATCTCTGGGCGCCAGGCCCGAAAAAAAAACGGTGGTCAAAGGGTTAAAAGCCTTTCGCCACATTTTCTGATCGTAGTCCATGTCAGTCGTGGAACTAAGTCTAGCATGAGGTACGTATGGTCTGTCCAGGCGGAATTCAAAGGAAAGGAGCCCCAACGAGGAGTGTTGAAGGAATGGATCCTGATGGTCCACGGAACCAACGAACCACCTTACCGCAACCTCCCCGCCCCGGACCCCTATTCCAAGCTGGCCGTCGTCAAGAAGGCTCACGAACTCAGACACTGAATGGAAACACACTCGCTTGTATATATCTACCACGTCCGCCATCACGATCAGCTATCCACGTATCCTCCACCTATAACGAGGATCCAAGAGAACAGGAACAAAACCGAACGATCGCACCATGTTGGCTGTTGTCTGCTCTATCGTGCTTTTATTCCGGTCTAGCAAAAAGGCCTCTCAATTCTCCATATTCTCCTCCGAAATCTTCCCCTTCTTATATGTTCGCTTCGTACTCTTCCTGCTTTCATCGGTCTTCTCCATTTTATGAAAATACGCAGATCGTACAGCTAGATATGGGATTCGAAAAGCGATGCGAATTATTTTTCATTACGATAAGGTCTATTTTACTAGAGTACAGAATTACCATTTGAATCGCAAAAGAATCGCTCGGTGTCTTTCCTCTATGTACACAGCTTGATGACTATGATGTTTGAGCATGTTATGTTATTTCAAGTACTTAAACTATTGGGCTGATGGATAACGCTTTTTTCTTCTTGGAACGACGTCGGGCACTGGCAATTGGCCGAATTTCTGAATATTCCTATCAAAGAAACTAGGAAATTCCATCGCGATGTGATTATTCTCAATTGCCTGTGATTGAGCAGATATATACGTTCACCATATCACAAGACAAAACTGCAGGTCAGTGAGATATGTATTATCCTTGAACAGTAACCTGACCCGAATGGATGATGCCCATAGTTACTTAATATACTACCGGTATATGTTGGGTGGGTTACCGGTATCTTGTCTGTGGGGTTGTAGACTAATATTATGGAAGTATGATTTCCAGTACTTCATTACTTCCCAACATATTGGTAAAATTGATAACGTTCACGTATCCAGAGAAATGGATTGAGAAGAAGGATGCATTTGGTTAGTCCTGCAAACCATAAAAAAGGGTGCTGTAAGTCTTGAGGAAGTGAGAATAAAATAATCTATTCACATGCATGGTATCTCATTAAGATGCAAACTTTACCAGAACAGAAGCATCAGCTACACCCTAAAAGCCTATCATTAAGGAATAAGTTTGAATGGAAAGCCATATTCAAAAGCATGAGCAGAACAGCAGCGGCAGAGGAAGCCCTTGGGCCAAACATCTGGTTTATGGGGTTCTCAGGGAAAGGCTGCTTCAATGCAAATTAGAAAGGTCTCTCAATTATAAGCATAAAACCTATAGGGAATTTCAATACAATAAAAAGAGCATTTGAACATTTAGGAATCAGAAATAAACCACTAGCAAATGAAACAAAGTAGTTGGAAATTGCAATTAAATCTTGATTCTTTTTATTTCTGAATGACTACTTTACATAGTGTTCAGCAAAGCATCAAGACACTGCATGAGAATAAATCACATGAAGCTCTGGAGACAAGGGACATATCATCTAAGGTTTCATTTCAGGTGGGAAGGCGTTGCATTATGAGGAATGAAAAGTGTGAAAAATGCATTGCTTGTTTTGAGATCAACTGGCCCTTTTGTTGGCAAAGGATAGGCAACTCGCTTGCTGATATGTTAAGGAAATAATTTTGGACATAGGAGATATGCGAGTGCTTGACTTGAGCTTGATCAAGATTGTCAGAGGTGGCCAGCCTTTGATATAGCACCAAGGAGGAAGAAGTGACTGGGGATGTTCCAGTGATAGGGGGAATAAGCTGGAATATATCACAGACACACAAAAACCAGGTCCTTTCCAAAAAAAAAAAAAAAAAACTCTTAAGAGAATCATTATGAAAATGCCCAGATACTGAGCAGTCCAGAAGGAGCAAGATTGGGAAGTAAGACCATCAATATGATCAGTATCACAGGGAGAGGAAAAGCATTCGTGAAAGGAGCTGCTGTATATGTTCACATGGATAGGATTCCAGGAAGGTATCAGTCCTCTTTGGTAGAGCCTTGAAGCTTGGTGATGACGTGCCGCACCCAGCTCTTGGAGTTGGACTCGGGTGATAAAGGAGGAGAAGCATTCTGAGTTGTTGAGTTCTCCACAATTGTGTTGATGGTAGAAGTGGAATGCTGGGAACTGGTCTCACTCTCATCTTCCCGTACCATCCCTGTCCCACTTGTCCATAATTCCAGCTCTCGTCTTCTCTCCCCAATTGATTTGATGTTCTCCAGAGAAGCACTCAGGGACTCTGCCTTGCAGAATCGACTGGTTTCCTCCAAGATCATCAACTTGCTCAAAATGCTGGCACTGGCTTTCTTAGCAGGAGACACTATAGGTGATATAGATGCAGGTTTCTTGCAGGGGATGGGAGGTGGTGGCTGCTTGGGACGGACGATTGTCTTCTTTTCTTTGCGCTGAGATGACTGTCGTGACAGAGTTCCAGTATGGGAACTGGCACTTCCATCCTCTATGTCACTGTACACAGCACTGTCTCTGAGGGGTCCAGAATCCAAAATTTCTAAGGCATCTAAAGACTGTTCATAGCATCCCTCTGGTGTGAAATCAGAGTCTGAGCCAGAGGAGAGATCATCAGCAAAACTTGGGACCTTGTGGAGGGAAGGTTCCTGGGAACTGTTGCTCTGGAGTGTCAATGAACGTTCATCAAGGCACGAATTCTTGTCTGTCCATTCACTGGACAGCACTGAGTCCAAAGATTCTAAGGAACCTATATGGATGGGCTCTGAATGACAGTGCTTGAGAAGTCTAGGCACAGCATAATCAGTAGAATTGTAAGGGTTAGCCAGTCTTTCACCAAGAGCAGAGTTTGTCCGCTCTAGTGAATGCTTCTGGGAAGAACCTGATGATGAATCCTTCTCATCAAAAAGCTGAGAAATTCGTTCTTTCAAGACAAGATGGTACTGTCGAGCCATGGTCTGAATGATTCTGCTAGTCTGCCTCTCACCCTCACTGCTACTAATGCTCTGGTTATCCATGGAACTATTGAGAGAGCCAAGGTTGTCATTGCTGCCATTCAAGTTGCTCCTCAGACCTGACAATTTGGAGGATATGCTAGTCATAATCTTGCGGAGGGACTGTCTGGAGACCTGAGGTCGATACAGCCGGTTTTCGGGATGGATTGAAAAATCAGACCTGTCACGAGATGGGCCAATCTTTCCATTGATACTCTCAGTAAGTGTGGAAGAACTTTGCCATTCTTTCTCCTTCTCTTTGCCCAGGCGTCGAGTGAAGAGCTGGCGCACACTCTCTCCAATGCTGCTTCGTGACAGACTGCTGCTAGACCCATTCACCTCCCTTACACTTTGCTCAGCCTTCAGGTACAAATCTCGTGCTGGACTCTTCTCTTTTTCACAGCTGGAGAAGGAATTGGTTCGTCTTAAAGGTGCCTCTTCTGCTTTGCTTTCAGAACTCTCAGTTTGCCTAAGAGCATTCTCTGATGGGTGGCGCTTCTCCAGATTAAACCCTTGTGCTTCCCCTTTCCTCTGCTTCCATTCATTCAAGGAGTTTTGAAAGACTTTGAATTTGGCACTTCCGAGGGAATGTGATCGCACAAAAGGACGTGGGGCATCATCTTCATCTCCAGATGTCCCTGTCTCTTCATGCAGCTTCTTCATCTCCTCAGATGTAATCTCAGACATCTGTCGACATAGCACAGGGGTATTTTTGGCAGAATGGAACCGTAAACCAACTTTGCGTGGTGACCCTTTGGAGAGTCGCTTCCGCATCATTAGCCTAATCTCCTGGTTCTGCATGAGAAGCTGTTCAACGATGGAGGCCACAGATTTGTCTCGGCAAGAGTCTTCAGTACTCGTCTCTAAGGTCCTTGAGATTTCACTATCTTTGGACTGTTCAAACTCAGGTGTGCTATCCTCCATGTCATCTACATTGGTCTCACAGGCAGAGGACTCCTCATCATCCTCTTCATCTTCTGACTTTTTGGGGTTATCTGGTGTTGAGACATCAGAATCCCTTGAAACATGACCATTCCCTTGCCTCTCCTGCAATGAAGAAACCCTTGTGATCCAGACACTAAATATGAGTTAGAATATACAGTGAAGGTACAGATGACTCTCACTGTGACTTCCTTGATATTCTGGATGAGTCTGCGTGACATGGTCCTCCCAACTGCACTCAATGTTACCATGCTTCTCCGTGTTGATACCCTCCATGACATGTCTCGAGTTTCTTCAAAGCCTTGCCTGGCAAACATGTTCTATACGAGAAAAAGGGAACATTTAGCAAATAGGTTTCCTGCTAGGGGTCTGCAAAACAACTCAGGTTCTCACTGGTTTAGCATTCTGCCTTCGACTAGCTGAGTGACTCAGCAAGTTGTCAGACTTCCTCCTTCCCTTCACAGAACTTGACTGACGTTCTGATCTAAGACGATCCAGGTATTCTGGAGCTGAATGCTGCTTTCTCTTAACTCGCTTGCTTCCAACAGGTTCCTCTGTGAAGGAAGATATGAATTATATTCCTGCAATCACCTTTAAAGAATATGCCTGATGCTTCAATGAAAAGGTTACTAGTATGGACTGACCATGTTTTTTATCCTGTCCCAGCTGGAGAACAAGGTCTCGAGCATGAGTGGGAATCACAGCTTCATAGTTCTCCAGAATGGCTCGCTTGATCTGCAGAGTCCATTCCCGTTTCTGCTCCAAACTCCGTGCCTTATGAGCAAAATCATTGATTATTAAATCATATGTTAGTATCTTCTTAATGGGCAGCCATAGGAAGTGGCTGCATAGCAGTTTAAAAAGCCAGAAACTGGCAAGCTCACCTGAAGAGTGAATTGCATGCGAGGGTTGTCAAAGGGAATGAGGTGGAAGCTGTATGGCTCATTTGCTATACTCTCTATCAGCATCAAATTGGAACACTGTCCAAGAGAAAATAAAATCATCACTACAACATGTACAGTGAGCTATCAGACACAGCGTTTTCAAAGGAAAAAAAGGAAATCCCATTGAGGAGAAAATTTAAATATATATATTTACATCCAAGAACTTGTCATAGGTTTTCAGGAAGAGGACTTTTCAGCCTTGACATGCTTACAATGCTTTGCACCTGCTGAAGCATTGCAACAGCTTTAATTTATGAGCCTCATATGTTGGTTCCATTTAAAGATGCTTCTCATAACACAGATAGTGAGCCAAGTGAACCCACCATGATATGCGACTTGTACAGGAGTACTCCAGCCTCTTTCTTCTTGGCAACTAAGAGCATTTCCTCAAAGAGGAAGAGTTGCCTGAGTCCTCGCGCCCCATGAAGCCTGAAGCAGCCTTCGGCTACCAGTTCTCCATACTGGGTCAGATCCTCTCCCTAATGATATGACAAGAGAAGCATTCATTCAAAATGATCTGAGACCAAGTCAAAGTCCCATATTAATTTAATGAAGGTAGTGGGATGCTCACAGGCCAGCCATAGAGGAGGCTCTGGATCTCTTGGACCCGAACAGCATGCTCATGCTTCCGTTTCATTTCATTGATGTGATGAGCGATGCCTGTCATTGCAGACAAGGCGTTCACCAATATGTTGTATCCATCCAACTCTTCATTGATATGCTTGGCAAGATTCTGAGAAGTAATATAAAGCATATCCAGTATTGAGCAATGACACAGGTACACCACATAACATGTGAGATTCTGGGAAGCTGCTGTTGACATCAGCGATAAAAAGTTATTGATGCATCTTGAGCCACCCCTCAAATATACTGCACCGATGTCTAATTTCCAAGATTACGTTATATCTCATCGGCGCTCTACCTTTCTTCATGACACGGAGCATGGGGACCTCTCCGAGAATCAAACCCACAAAACAGTAGGGAGTCAATCGGGAGAACCATAGATTACCTGCAGCAGGAGGTGGTACTTGAGAATGCGCTGCACGGGCTTCAGGAGGTAAGACCCTAAGGGCAACGTGTGGTGAAGGGAGGACTGCATTGTACGAAAATAGCTCGCAACTTCTTCCCTCCTCAAAAGCTCTGTCAGCAGGGACACGGACCTGAAAAAGAGATTCAAGTAGATTTAGGCGTGGATAGAGGAGATTCTAACATCACAATCATTCGCAATGCCGAGTCATTGTGCCACCCCACAGGCAGAGTGGATCTAAAACTCAATAGAAGGCTGCACAATGGTCTTTTCATCTCATTCATCTTTCAGCCATTAATCAGAGCAGATTTAGAGATGACTCAACTAACATACTTGGGATAGTTATTGCAATAGTGAGAGTAGATGGCAAAGCCTGAATTGCTCTCCATGAAGCAGCTTGCCACTTGGGCCACGTCCATTCCAGCTGCCTCCAAGTCCCTCAGCAATTCCCTGGTCACGGATAATTCCACTTTTATACTTCTAAAAAAAAGTTATAGAAGAAAATGAGAGGGGAGTATACAGTCTGTGTTGCTCACTTGTTGAAGTTGTAGATGTCTTCGAGATTTCCAAAAAGGACAGATATTTCCTCTTGAGGAATGGGAACAGCCTCATTGTTCTTCATCACATCCACGTATCCCTGGTCGGACATAACGATGATAATGAGCATCGGAAATGGATCTTTCACTTTGAGCGAAAATAATTTCTCCTTACGCTAATAACTTCCTGAAGATCCTTGACGTAAACTCGTTCGGTGTCGATGATCTCCATAATTATTCGATCCAGATAGCTCAGATTCGGGTCACAGTAGTATGGAGGCGCTTGTATGGGGGGACATGGAAGAGAAATGGACGTAGAAGAAACGCTCGAACATGAACCTAGGAGAAACGAATTTTTCTTTTATCCACGAGGTAAACGTGTCATTCATCATCAAAGTAGGAAGTAGCAGCGAATAAGAATCAAAAACTTGTATCTTTCGATCGAATTAAAACCCCGTCAGGGGAATGAATCATAGACGAGGACACCCCCTATCTAGGAAGTGAATCCAGTCGTCAGAATCGATCTTCCTGTTTGCGGCAAGTATTGACGCCGTCTGCGTCATTGCAACGAAAATCGAGAGCACAAGGTAAGCAGCTACAAAACCCTTTCAAAAGCAAGCCTGATGACCCGTGGTTCCACTCACATCGGAATTTCATGAGCTCTGAAGGACACGTTCGCCTGCAGCCTGGTCCGCTTCAGTCTACTTCTCAACCGGTTATGTTTGTATCTTTCGTTTTTACGGGATTATAAGGAAGAAGTACGACCATGAAACGCCGATCAAAGCGTTCCAGAGATGTCCCCATTGCGATCGGGGAGGGGGGAAGAGAGCTATTAACCGAGGTCGCATCTCGCAACGGGTTGCAACAATTTCCAAGGGTGTAAACCAGAGACCGTTCATCACGAACTGACTCTCATTCAGAGTCATTAACAGACCCGACCTCTCTCTTTAGATATGTATGCAACCATGCCATCGCCAGATCGACTGGGACAATCCACGTTGACCCCTGACCCGAAAGGAAGACAGAGGCTTTTAAATCATCTTAGGAGGTCCCTTCCCTTTCACCACCCTTTCTAGGCAAGGTGTCATGAATTGCGCTTTGTGTATGGAAAACGGTGCTTCGGTGGGTGCTCTTATATGCAAAAGCAGCGTGTGGATAGAGAAAGGCATCGAGTGCGATAAGGTGCAAACACTCTAGAACCCCCGTCACGACGACTAAGAAGGAAAGGGAGAGTGCGGTTGAAAGGGTGGAGAGCAATGTTGAAGAAAGGGGTATATGCTCGTCACAGTGCAGCACAGTACATTACAGTACAGTACAGTACAGTGCCGAATACAGTGCAATACACAAAGAGGGAGGCGATTAGAATCCCAGAGAGGAAATGGACCACGGATGCTTGCGTCTCATTTAGCCAGAATGGCCCTCACTCTCCATGGGTTTGTGGTCGAACACAGCAATAAAGAATAGCGACCTACATTCCCCCCACCCTACATTGAAAGATATCCTCCCACTTCTGATGAATATCTCACGAGAAATCGTGACTCTGCTCACCGAAGGAGGTGGAGGGATTCCAGGAGTTCCGCTGACCGTGTGTCTTGCCCTGGGGATTCTCCTCGTCGTCTTCATCCTCGTCTTCTGTGAGATCTGGGGGAGGCGTGGCGAGGCTTTCGATACTGGCTAGGTACGCGGAAGACCGGACTGAGGCCGATGGACGAGCCTGGCGGTGGTGATGATGTGAAGTGAAGGAGGAGCTGGAAGAACTTGACGAGGACGTGGACGTGAGGGAGAGAGGTCTCAAATCCCCTCCACACTGGGAAAGGCTGTGGGAGAGGCTGGAACTGTTGCTTAGGACCTTCCCAGTGCCGTCTCCCTCTGCCGGAGGTTTCGTGTAGCAACTCTCGCTTCGAGCCACCTTCTTGCTGACCATCGGGGCCGAAGTCACAAGAGGAGCGCCCTTGCTGCTGCTGCTGCTAGTAAAGGTGGACAAAATCGAATCAGGAGATGCATCAAATCTGAGTTAACCTCTTCAATCGCGAATTATTTTCAGCCAGTTCGTTCTTCCTGGTTATTTTTCCGCATAAAGCATACACAGCACCTAATATGCAAATCAACCTCTAATTTCAATACATTTTCATAGCAATAAGACATCGTGTCTAATTATATAAAATGTAATGGGACAATTAATAAGATGGCATGGTTACTGTCGAATGAATCATGTCTGTGTGAATCCAGTGATTCAAAACAATTTCGTCATGAATGAATGAATTTAAGGGTGAAATATGCGTAAAGTAATTAAATACTGTTTTCATTCCCCATGCCCAGGACAAGGGGTGAGCGAAAGAGTTAAATCGTATCCTGTGATTATAAAACAGTGACTTGGTCATATTGACTTAAACAAAGCAAATTACAAAGCTATTGCTAAGTACGGAGGAGGTCAGACATTCATACAACCAGGGATGTGCTTATGCATTCTCTTGCAGTGGTACGCATTCTCTTGCAGTGGTACGCATTCTCTTGCAGTGGTACGCATTCTCCTGTAGTGGTACGCATTCTCCTGCAGTGGTACGCATTCTCCTGCAGTAGTACGCATTCTTCCACGTTGTGGCAAGAATGTGACCTCTCAATTACGATTAAAATCTCTATTCATTTATGTATGATCTGGTCTACTCTTTCCATCTTTGGTAAATCCTGTACTTAAAAAGTCATATTTTCATGTTATGATCTGCTCACCTCTGGCTGCTGCTACTGCTGCTACAACCAGTCCCACTGCCGGTCCCGCTGCTGTCGTCGCTGATGACAGAATCCCGTTGATCGCTCCCGCTTTCCTCGCTGGGGGAACATTCCTGTGACGTGGACTCGTCCACATCCCCAACTCCCGAGTCGCTTCGGCTCACTTTGGCCACCAGTGCGTCATACATGCTCAGCAGGGACGGCACCAAATCCGTCGAAGCACCTGCAACAGATGGCGATGAACGTGACGGGGCATGAAATATTGTACAATACAACACGCAACGATGGAAAATGAATTGAGTAGACCATGTAAATGCATCCTTCATGTGCAGGTAATTGCCAGGAATAATTTATCTTTATAGCCATCTAGATTTGAATTAATTAAATTTCGCGTCTATCTATATTGAAATACAATAATTTTCTGAAAAACTCCATTTGAAAAGACCCTTAACCTCGTGGAACATAAGTCAGCCCGGATGAAGGGACGTGTACAATGAATAAGAGCGTTGTTCAAGATTTCAAGGCCATCTTCACCTGCCTCCAGGGGCTTCGGAGTCACTAAACAAATAAATGCGACACCAGTGTCTCTGATAGAATATGGAAAACTAGTGCCCCAGGTTGCATTAAGCTTTTTTTTGTTTCCCCGACCTCCCTCCGAGTCAGGGAATGGGAAGGGGCATGTTCCCTGTTTACCTCCCATTTCATTGCGCCATGCCTCCCATATACACCCCCCCATATAAGCAAAGTCATCATCAGAGCATTCAGGAAGAAAAACTCCCCCTTGCAGACTCAACAGAGGGGAAAAATAAACAGGGCGGGTCCATCTGCCATTTTCGGCGCAGCAGGACGACAGGAAGTGCTAAAATAATGAAGCCCAGTGCCGAGTTTTGCAAGGGAAATCAGTGTGAGGGGCAGCTGCACGACCTGTTGTGCCAATGCGATTACGGGATTTAGCAGTTGGTCACAGATGTCAGTGCCCAAGGGGAGGTCCCGCCCCGGAAAAAGGAACAAACAGATCCAGCCACGACAAAACACTCCATTTCATGCATGATTTACGATTACCTCGTGTGATATCAGATTCCAATGATTTATCATTCGCGGAGAAAGCGTTTCGCAGTCCATCGTCCCGATTGCGAGCATAGTGAATGGCCATAACAAGCTCCTTCTTGCAAAAGAGGCAATCTTCCCGATGAGATAATGGGAGGGAAGAGAAATTGGGCGGAAGTGGAGGGAGGGTGATGCTGAACAGGGAAGTGGACCCTCAATTAGTACTTGAATGACATTAATGAGCTGGCACTGCCAGACAAGAGGAGGGGAGTCTGGGGTCTCTTTCCTTCCTTGCCTGTTCTTGTTCCTATTCATAACTTCGCTTCCTGTACGGCCTTGAGAACTCGTTTTTAGCAAACTCGGGCCAAAGATCCTCTTGCGATATCGTTCGAGGCTTGCATAAGACACCATGAAAAAAATTAATTCCAAGACCGTTATCTTTGAAACACGCCCACTTGCTCCAGTATCGAAGTCCAACGTGCCTCCATTTTTCGTTTTTCATGTTGCTAATGGCCCTTTCGTTACGATGCAGCGAGCCCCCTGCCGGTGTAACAAGCTATTCCACTCTTACAGCACGTAGCCTTCAAACATGATCGACGGAACACTCGGCTCTTTTCTTTCACCCCTTTTGGGATCCCCCGTCGCGCAAACACTTCAATGCACCAGCTGAACTTTGAACTGCCTCGAAGACCAACTCATCAACAAGCCCTGGGTATTCCGAGTGTTCGCCCCTTTTTTAGCGCCAGGGCTGAGAAAATGAGCGCTTCCACTGTTATTGAAGGAGCCGCTAAACGACCATAACAAGATAATGACCGAAAAGGAAGAGTTGAGCGGTAGCAGCTGGTATTTTGACGCGAAATAAAGTCGATCCATAATGAAACCCCCCACGAGGGAGAAGGGTTTCTTGTGCACACAATACGGTACGGAAGAGAAAGGTTTCATCCGACAGGGGGTCTCGGTTCCTCAGTTGCAAATCAGGGTAAATTACCCACAATCAGGATGTGGGAGGAAAAATGATTCGTACAATTAGGAGCGAAAGAACAAGAAAAATGGGAGTACCCTGAGAAGGTGGAGGGAATGAAGGAGCCATCTACCCGGAATGACATCTAATTAAGGACTTTCGTACCTCGAATGACAAGTAAATCCCATGACCAGGCTGCTTCCCATTACCATTACAGTAACCCAAGACGGACTCGCCACAAAATAGCCTTTTTCTCCCCTCTCGACACGAGTATCAAATATCGGCAGGTGTCTCACGTGACTCCTAGTCGTGCCGCGCAGGTGCCTTGAATCAACCCTTGCGGCACCGTATGTGTACAGTGCACATTATGCTGCACGTGGCATTGAGGGGAGAAAGCGAGAGAGAGGCGCCAGGATTCTGTACAGCCCTGCCCTGTACTGAACACACCGTGCTGTGCTACGTCCGCTATCGCATACTGCAGAGGACGGAGGGGAAAGATCATATCCATATGCAGACGTGACTAACATACTGGCCTCTTTCCTTTTGCCTCCTGCCAACGCCAAATTTCATTCACAACGCTGGCAGGAGACGGGCCACAATTTCCTTCTCTTAAAACGGCATTTACTAAGCGGTTTCGAATACTTGCAAGGATCTGAACTTCTTTTTTTTCTACTTTTATGCTGTCACGTCCCTGTGTTTGCCAAGGGATGCACATCAGCACGCCTGATGGGAAGTATATCTGAGAATTTCCAAGAAACGGCCTACTCGTCTGGAGTGTGTGGGAAAGCGCATTTAGACGAAACGGAAACAGATAATCGGCGGATCCCTTCACCTCGCACGTTCCTCTTTATTCTCTTCGAAGGAACAGACAGGCGTGGGGGATGTATGAGAGCAGCAGAATGAAGCTCTCAAAAGACTGGGGTGGGAATGAGACAGAAGGTCGCGTAGTCTGTCGGATTTAGACACGGTTTTCTTCAGAGACGAGGGGCCAGACGCTGAGTCATAGCCAAGAGGGGAGAGGCAAGGTAAGTAAACCGAAAGATCGGGGGGAGCAAGCAAGAAAGAAGACACCGAGCAAAATGCGAAGAATTCCGTTGGGCGGGGGTGCTGGGTCTTCGAACGGAGGTCCACATACAAAGGGTTAGGGGGGCAGGTTCAAGGTCTCCCATCACATCAAATCACATAGCACGGCGGGTGTCGCTCTGGTGGCATGTTTACTCAATGGGCATGGACTGGACCCCTACTTTTTTTTTCTTCCCACAATCCCACAGAGATAACTATTCTCCCCTTCCCCTTGGCCTTCTTTCTCGACGCCGACACGACCACCACGAAGAGTCATGGGAATCCTCCGGTTTTCTCGCTTTTTTTTTGTACCACGCCAAGTGTCCAGACAGAAGACATCTAGACACACAAACACGCAACGGTTCCTGGATGGAGGGGATAGTAAAAATCAAGCGTCATGCTGCTGAACGAAGACGATAAGCTCCAGTAAGAGGCCAAGAGTCCAAACATGCGTGGGAAGAGATACAGTCAGCCTCCCAAGGGAGAAAAAAACTATCTCCGATCCCATCTCATCTCCACTTCTACCGCTGATGTATGGCTGAGGTCCGAGGAATGTTCTACGATTAGGGACTAATTTCTTCTTGAACTCCCCGTTAAATTGGGGGAAAGACGGCAAAAAAAGGACAAAAAGAAAGCACAAAATGTCTCGACACAGTCACCATGCTCACCGACGCGAGTAAGAACGTGGGCGAATGACATGCCATTGCCATCAGAGGGAAATTTATGTAGGAATGGAGAGGTAGACCGTGACCATGGAAGGGAACGGACACATCGGAAGCAATCAAATCTTCATCGATCATCCTCGGCCGCTCCTGTAATGAAGTGACCGCGGACCCCCAAAAAGACACGCCATACATTATAATGACCAGAAACCGGGGTCAGTCCTGCGGAACTTGGGGAAAAAAAATCTACTGGGAATGAGTTCATGCCAATTTCACCCTCCTGAATTTCAATTCCAATCGTCGCAACGAAAAAAACCTGGCTCACATTATTTAAATGAGAACTATCCCACCACTGCTGGCAATAATGATGTCGGAGTATTTGTGCGAAAAATCAGATAGGCTAGCCGGTAAAAATGAAAGTATGCATTTTTATCATCAGAAAATATAACTGATAATTCATGCCCTCAGAAAGTCGGCATCTGCACCAGGGCTTCCACACGCTTTTATTTCTTCCTCCGAGCCAATATGGTGAATTAGTAAACTGCTTGATCAATTCCAGGCAGATAAGCAGCATTTACAGTACGTACCGACAGAATGAGTCACGACCACGCCTCAGACTGTGGTCCATACAGAAGGTACTGGGTTTCACTGATATAAAATTTTGGCCTACAATATTACCAGATGCAACAATTTTGTTTATTGTTGCCTTCAAAGATTATTGCGGAATGATCCTCTTTTTTGGCTTCAAAAAAAGGATTAAATTTAGCACTTAATTTTACTTATTTTCAGAATGAACAGCATCCAAATTAAGGTGACGGCTTCCCAAAATTATGCGAGTCACCACTGCCCAGTACGGGAGTTACCCGTCATACGAGAGTCCCAGGTTGAGAACCACTTATCTATGCCATTGGTCTCGGAGTCGGTTTCACGAGGCGCAATTGTGGCTCATGGAAATATCTGCGTACAAAGGAAAGCCAGATAAGGAAGAGTGTGAATTTCTTATCAGAAGCGACTACGATCCATCTCCTGAAAGCTTTGTCAGAACAGGAAATATTCTCATCGTCAGTATGCAGAGGCGGGAGTTGAATGGGACCACTTTTCCCTGGCACTACGAGCCGAAGGAAGGCGATGCGTTTTCGAAGAAACATCCAAATTGCACCGTAGACACAGAAGTAATGCTAAGTGATCCTCTTGGATGGGGCAATAAGGAAAAAGAGAATGGAACTCGAATGCAGGGACGGCAGCATCAGGTAGGTTGCCAGAATTTTTTTTTTCATGGCCTCATCTATGCATGAATTTGGCGTGCAGCCAGGTAGTCAGACTGATTTTCCTCCCTCCGCGATCATTAGGGAGCGAGACAGACTCCAGGTCGGATTCATTAATTGTTACGCTAGAGTTGAGGTACAATGCGGGCACGTGACGGGTTGCAACAAAGCGAAACTAGCGTGTTTTATTACGTAATTCGGCGTCTCGGATGACACTGACGTATACAGACAGGCAGACAAAAGAGATCCTTCAACCGGA